ATACAGCCTCGTCTACATTTTTGCCAGAAGCATCCTACCTCTCTGCATCCATGAATGGGCATTCTAACTGGTGATCTAGTGGCCAAGAGATACTTGTTTTCCGTCTTGTCCAGATGGGTGGAGTGACACTAAGAGTTTTGATTGAACTGAAACCAAAATAGGCCTGGCTATCAGATGGACATTTAAGTCCATTACAAGGCAAGGAATGCAGAGAATGCCCCCAAAACCAAGAATGAGGCATCTTGTTATATGACTGGTATCCTGGTATCTGGCAATCAAGATTTTTTCCCCTTGAAATGAGCCTCACAATTAAAATCCCAGCCTGCTTTTTGACATTCTTCCTATCCGTTCTTAGAGCCGTTAGAGTGCAATTTTGGATCTCGCTTGCTCAGGGGACCGTTTGGAAGTGCCTTGGTGGGACTTTGTACTGCCAACCACTCTGGTGTCCCAGGCAACAAGATGTCTGGCTGCCAGGGTGAGAGTGGTGAGGGGGAGGGTTAAATCTTATGACAGAGGGCAGGCAAAATAAATCAAAACGGCTTTATCCGCCTGCAGTTGTCTGAAACAACTGTGGGCTGTCCTAATGCATGATCTGAAGCAGGTGAATTCGTCTCCTGCTTCTTTCCATTGGATGCTCCCAAGACACTAAAGTAGGAAAAACTGTCTTGAGTAGGGCTGAATGACAGAATATCATTTTGCGATTGTTACTACGTGTCCGCCATATACTGAAAACATTGAAGAACTCTGTGCTTTGATGTGATGTGATTAAAGGAATGGTTTGGCAAAAAATGTAATTTACACAGTTTCTCACTTACCCCACATGTAGTAGATCAGCCAAGACATGTTTGAAGTCTGCACTTCACTTGTGGATGTGTTTGAGGACACAGTATGACTTACTGCAAACTATGAAAATGAACAAAGTCTTTACAGAGTGGTTTGGTAAAAAAAAATTTATAGTACACAGTTTTCCATTCACCCCTGATGTAGTCAATCCACTGATACTTGTTGTGGTAACACTTTCTGTGAATGTCACGTTTGTAAGCATCTATAAACACATTTATAACATGTTATAATGCCTTCATACGGCATTATAAACATGATTATAAACATTTATAAAAATGAATTACACCGGATTACACTTTATAGCCATGTTTATTATACATTATGAATTGTTAATATAATGCATTATAAGTAGTGTTGATAACATGTTATACTGTCAGTGCCAAAGAAGTCAGTCCCAGCTTGGAGACTGCAAAGTAAAGACAAATACCAAGCTAACGGTGGTGTACATTGACTTTCCCACATTGGGTAAAGCACTGTTGGCAGCACTAGTTTAAACTCTGACATTTGAAGCCTGTAATGTGCTTTATTATGTATGTTTTAGTGTTTCAGTAAATCCTTCAGTAAATACTTCAACTTGAAGCCTCACTCTTAACACTGGAGGAGGCTTTAGTACAGTACGCTTCACTTTACTTGGAGCAGACAAATACCACTGATGAGCTCTTATAATTTATGAACAGTACTTATAATGTATTATGTTAACAATTCATAATGCATAATAAGCATGGCTATAACGTAATGCATTTTTATAAATATTTATAGCCATGTTTATAATGCCTTATGAATGCATTATAACGTGTTATGAATGTGTTTATAGATGCTTACAAAGGTGACATTCATAGAAAGTGTTACCCTTGTTTGGTGTACAGATGTTTCCTCTTTAGTGTAGCACTGCAACTACGCTATATGGCCAAAAGTGTGTAAACGCCTCACCGCCACACCTGTACGAGCATGTTGGACATCCCATTCTAAAACCATGGGCTTTAATATGGAGTAGCTATAACAGCCTGCTTTCTTCTGAGAAGGCTTCACACAATACTTTGGAGTGTGTCTGTGGGAATTTGTCTATTCAGTCAAAGGAGCATTTGTGAGGTCAGGCGCTGATGTTGGATGGGAAGTCGACGTTCCAGTTCATTACAAAGGTGTTCAGTGGGATTGAGGCCAGGGCTCTGTGCAGGCCACTGGAGTTCCTCCACACCAGATTCATCATGTCTTTATGGACCTTGATTTTTTACACTTGACTGGGGCAGATCTAGCAGGGCAGAAAACTGACTTGTCTATCTTACTATCAATGTTTGTCTATCGATTGCATGGCTATGTGCTTGCTTTTATGCACCTTTTAGCAATGGGTGTGGCTGAAACACCTGAACTGAATAGTTAGGTGGGGTGTCCTCATACTTTTGGCCATATAATGTATAAGGCTAATGTTGCTAACCAACACTAGAGTTCGTCAGTCACCAAAATCTCTTATATAAATACATCTGCACAATTTTTCTCAACTGGCTGGGTAGCATCCCCAGTGCAAAATGCCTAAGGGCAGAATTCTCACAGCACACAATAAAACAAGTTTGTTAAGGCTACTGTCCACCACAACTGTCGTATACTGCATCTAAAAATTCAAAACCATTGTTTTTAATGAAGGTGCATGCTCCACCACAGACATTTATGCATTGTGCACCATTTGTGCACCACATACTGGCCACAGTCGCCACTAGTCGGTGACTTCCAGCAGTCCTCTGTGTCTCAGAGTGCTACCGCTTGCCACTCGGCATCTAGCCATTACTGCATTGTTATATCCAGAACAAGACCACGAACAACTGATAATAGGTGATGTGGTTTGAAATTTACATTGCAGTCAGTCACAGAAGTCTTTAAGATAAATGCAAACTGCTTAGTATCACTTCAGTTTATTTATTTATTTTTTTTAGCCCGAAGCTCATTAAGTGGGTTACATGAACACATGAAACAGCATGTGCATATCATATTTTCAGTGCTTTATATTAGTTAAAGTTAGCAATATAAATAACATTAGAAATAACATTATTTGCTTTGTAATAACCAAACTGGCATTTTAAAATTCTTAAATGAAAAATCTGTTGCCTATTTTTGTAAAATGAAGCAAATAAAGTGCTACGTTTAAATTAAGAGGCAAATGTGCTTAATCCAATGTATGATTATGCTACATTTTGGTTTAGGTCTAGGGGCATCATTCAGATACAGCACTAGTGTGTTGGTCTCATAAACACACAATGCAGATCAGCCAAAGTAAAAGTAATAAATTGACCTATCGTCATGTATTTGGAGCAGAAATCTGCTGATTCTGATCTTGATTAATTCCAATCGTGCCTCCGTATTTATTAGCCTAATTACATTATGACTTATTTCACCTCGTGTCTCTTTTAACTGGAAGACTGTGTTTTTAATAGCTGATCGGTATCACATTGATACCAAATCGGTTCAGAAAGGTTTTATTGCATTAAATCTATATGAATAGCATAGAGGGTGAAAAGATGAAAGTCTGAACTTGAGCCTGAAGTGAGTTTGAACTTGCTCTCCCTGTGACCCAACTTGGCTCTGTGCTTCTTTGGTGTGCCTTTAAGTAATGGTGTTAGTAGTTGTCCCATCCAGGACTATGTTTGGCAGATTTGGTTAGAGAAAGTTGGTCTGAGTTGAGTTTTAAAATACAAATCTTACCTGACCCCATCATAGTTAAACATTTAGGAAAAGGACGCCATGCTCCACGATTTTTACCTGAAAAAACTGAGCCTTGACTGAAATAACTGTTTCATTCATTTGTGGTAAAATGTATGTTCTCTATCTTAAGTGTTTGGTCCATATTTAGCCTTTCATTTGCCATAGATTGGTTCACTCAGATGTAGGGAAGGACATTCAGTCAAGCACTGCATCAACCTGATCTGCCTCAGTCACGTTTATAATTAGGTATGGTACTTGTACATCAAAAAATATACAACGCTTGTCAAGTGGTCCACTTTGAATTTGACGGCTATTTTTAACTGACATTTCCTATTTTCGGTCAGTCTTTCTTTCAGGGTGGAGCAGTTATTTGCCATGAGGAGGGGGCACGGTTTGGCCTGCTCTTTGAAAATGGGTTTACTGTGTGCTAAATGCTGTAAAGTGTTGCCATGACGACCATCTCTGCACCAGGACTGTGCTGTGGCCAATGTAGCCTGGTTTCTGTCTTAATGCTGTTGCGCATGCCTTATTGTTTGAGAAATAGTAAATCTAAATCTAAGATCAGTGTTATTATATACTGCCATAAATAAATCAGATTTAAGCAAGTTACGCTGCAAACATGTATTTAATGTTGCTCGTGCCTTACATTTTTTTTAATTATGTATTTCTTTCCTTAATCTTCTCATTCTGCTACTGTACAAGGTCACCACCAATGCTGTGCAGGTCAGAACTCTCACATAGCAAATGAACCAAGTCTCTGTCTGTGGCGTGACCTAGATTTTACTGCATAGCCTAAACCTACTAGGGAAGAAAATCAGCAGAGAGCTCCAAAAATTGTCCTTATAAACTCAGAGTAGGGGGTATGAAAACATGTGATTGGTTTATGATAAATAATTTTGCGTCAGAATCACTGTTTGGCTAATCTTGATGAGTAAAGCCATTGTTTTGATTCATTCTACCTTCTTTAGATTCTGTTGCAGTGTTGGTGTCTGTCCAGATACCAGCAAGAAATCACGGCTATGATTTGGTAGTTCGTGCTAACTAGTAGGTAGATGAGAAGTTTTTATTTACTCTGGCTTTCTGTCTCACTGCTCAGTCAGAACTTAGCTTTATCCTTAGGAGTTTGAGGGAGCTGTGCTTATGCAACCAAACCGTTTAATGGGATTCCCCTGTCAGCATACAGCCAGCTGTGTGTGCGTGAGAGAGGGGCGGAGAAGTTGAGGTTCTGCTGCTGCTTCTTTTTTAAATAAAGAGCCACTGTCTTTGCATTGCTTTAATGTGTGTGAATCCAAACTGCTCAGCTCTGCCATCTGACTTTTTTGCTTTCCAGTGTTGCTTCTTTATCTGCATTGATGCTATTTAGTGACTTTAACATGGCATAATTAAGATAAAAAATTCCAAGAATATTTGGGATATTTTGGTTATCCAGAGCTCTCATACCTTTTGTGTTTGTTGCTCCTCTCTAGGCACGGGTGAGAGCGGCAAGAGCACCTTCATCAAACAGATGCGCATCATCCATGGGTCAGGCTACACTGACGAAGACAAGCGCAGCTTCACTAAGCTCGTCTACCAGAACATCTTCACCTCCATGCAGGCCATGATCCGCGCTATGGATAATCTCAAGATCCAGTACAAGTATGAGCAAAACAAGGTGAGAATCTATATTCAGTGGACAGAGTGAACTAAATGCAGAAACACAATTTGAGAAAGATTAGGTGTGTGTGTGTATTTTTTGCATGTATTTATTATTATTTATGTTTATTATTTTATTTATTTGTTTATTTTTACAAATTACACATTTTGTTGACTTTTTTTGACTATAACCAGCTCTTCATGGAACTTGATGCACAATTATTAAATAAGCGTTTTGGAAAGAAGTACTGTGATGACTGAGCTCCATTTTTACTTCTTCAAAGGTATGTTAGGGAAGGGGAGCAGCATTTGATGAAAAGAACACCTTGGCTACTGTTAAACATGGGGGTGGATCTATTATGCTTTGGGGTTCTATGGCAAGGAAATGATGTGGGGATAGAGGGAAGAAAGAATTCTTCTAAATATCAACAAATCCTGGAAGCAGATGTGACCCAGTCAGTTAAGAAACTGAAGGTGAAAAGAGGTTGGATATAAGACACTGATTCAAAATGCAGTGGTTGGTATAGTGTAGTGGGCAACACTTCTGCTCTCCACACTGTAGACTGGGGTTTAATCCCTCAGCTGGGCAAGCACCCTACGCTATACTATTAGACTCCTTGGGCAAAACTCCTAACACCACCTTCACCTACCTCTGTGAAGTTTTCAAATTGTAAGTCATTCTGGATAAGAGTGCCTGAGAAATGCTGTAAATATAAATGCAAATGTAATACAAAATCTACCATAAAGTGCTTCAAGAAACAATAGATTAACCTTTTTAAATGGCCTCCAGTGTTCTCTGACTTGAATGGTATTGAGAATCTGTGGGTAGATGCTGTGCATGTATGGCAGTCTATGAATTTTTCTGGACTAGAATAATTCTAGAAGGAAAAGAGAGGAAGAAGAAAACTTGAATCAAGAATAGAAAGACTTGGTTGGTTGCAAGAAATGTTTGGAGGCTGTGATTTCAGCCATATGGGGTGTAATTAATACTGGCTGAGAGAGTGCCGAAACTTATGCACATGCCACATTTTAGGACTTCTTTTCCCAATATGTAAATTCTGAAAATAAATGTGTCAAATGTAATATACTCAAGGTCCAGTTTTTTGCTGTACCCCAGCTATTTGTACCAGATATTCCGTTCTTGGTTGGATGGTTCAGTTGTACTGGAATCTGGCATAAGGGAAAATGTGGATCCTGTGGGAAGTTTGGGGTTTGGAAAAACTGCCCTAGTCCGATTCCCTAAGGACAGCTTTTACAAGGCCTTTACCATTTACGATATTGTACAATTTAGTCATTTGTTGTGTCCTCAGGCCAATGCATTACTGGTGCGAGAGGTGGATGTAGAGAAGGTGTGCTCCTTTGACCAGCCCTACATCAATGCAATAAAGATGCTGTGGGCCGACCCGGGCATTCAGGAAGCCTACGATCGCAGGAGAGAGTACCAGCTCTCTGACTCTACCAAATAGTGAGTTTGTCTGCATTCAACATCTTCAGTGTTTTCCTCACCTTCATTATTGCTTTTATTTGTGTAGTGTTACATTTACTCAGAGGTGTCTAGCACAGTGGGGAATAATAGTCTGAGACCACTAGCAAAAATACTTCGATTATGCATTCTTTTCTGTTTTAATTTAATAGTGTTTTGTTACCAATTATATTGTTAGCATAACAATAATTAGTGAAAGGTAGAATCTGTGAAATATTATAGGAATTTCAAGATTTTGTAGTATTTGTCTCCCTTTTGCTTTAATGACCATGTGTACTCGAGCTAGAGTGGGCTCTGATAACTAAACGTGACAGAAGTCGCTGATGTATAGATCACATCTACTTTGGAGTTGTTGGTAATCTGATCTTTTTGTGCAAGGCCTTAACATAGTCAATGACGAAGATTAGCTTAAATTTGGATAGTGACCTAGAAATGGAGCAGAATGGTGAACATTTCTTGTTCATTTTATTTGTCATAACTTTTCTTTTGTTTTAATTTTTAAGTTCCAAAATGTTCTGTGGTTGTTTCCAGGATTAATTGAAAACCATCCCAGATTTTCAGTGTGTTCTCAGACTTATGAACCCCACTGTAGTTATGTAATAACTAATTAGTCACGGTTCCTTTTTGCATAATTCAGACCGTTGACAGGTTGTAAGTTTACACTTTAGTGTGAAATGAGAATTGCCTCATTATGCAAAACATCTGTGCACAGCTACCTACATGTATTTCCTGTATTTCTCTATGCTGTAATTGGTTCACCCCCCGCAGTTACCTGGGCGATTTAGAGCGGATATCTGCCACAGGGTATATTCCCTCCCAGCAGGACGTGCTGAGGGTCAGAGTGCCCACCACTGGCATCATAGAATACCCTTTTGATTTGGAGAATATAATCTTCAGGTACTGCTGACCGCAAACCTGCTGTGGCCATACCATCACCTCTGTCGCTGTCCAAGCACTCTGCTGCTGCACTGCTACCTGCCCTGATCGCATTCTCTCTCTAAATCTGAGACTTCCTCTGCCATAGTCTCTGCTGCCGCCACTGACTCTCTACATAATGCCCCAGACTCAAATGTTTCATTGTTATTAATGACTGAGTAGATTTTGAAAAGGTCAGTGAGATGCTATCAGGACTTTGGCTGCTTACTGAGACGTCATGGGTTTGGTTTTGGAGGGAAGCTGAAGACTCGGAAGGGTATTGGTTCAAATCCCTGAATTGCAGGATCCCAGTGTTCCTGGAGAGGCCCACTGTCTGATTGGGGAATGAATTACCTGCTGTCATGCCTCAATTTTCTTCATTGTTTTTCTCCCTCTCTCTTTCTCTTGCTGCATCTTTTTTGTCTCTAGCTATCTAAGTGATCTGGATCGTATTGCGGATTCGTCGTATCTACCAACCCAACAAGATGTGCTTAGGGTTCGCATTCCAACTACTGGGATCATTGAATACCCTTTCGACTTGCAAAGCATCATTTTCAGGTAGAACATAGAGACAGGAATTATTCTTCCATTTTCGTGTTGTTGTGGTCACTTGTGTGCTTTTAATCAGTGTGTTACAGTGGGTCACATTGGTCTGCTGAAGATGAATGAATAAAAAATAGAAATACTGTGAAGTCCCTAATCCATCGTCACTTCATCCACTCGTTAACCCTCATCTTTTATACTGTTTTATTTTATTGTGATTCCATGTAGTATAAAGAGTGTAAAGACAGCCATTGCTGCACAGGTAGAAATGACAATTTAGGTCTCATTAACCATTTTCAGATTTTTGGATGAATTGTGGCTGTAAAAAATACCAAAAACTCAACAGAAATACATTATTTCCATGTATTTAGTCAGTGCACTTCCATTTGTGTCTGTTTTCCAGAATTTAGCAACTTTATTGTAGGATTAGTTCTGCCACTTATTTTCACGAGTAAATCATGTCATATCTCACTGAAAAGCTTGCTTCCCATAGAATATGAATAGTTTTTCTAAGCTTTTTTTTCTGCATTTAAAATAAAAAAAAAAAAATCTTAGCTTCTAGAATACTTGTGTTCATTAACTTTTGCATACTCGTTCCTTACCATTTTATGAAGGATGCTAACAGAAGAATTTCCTAAAATTATTACTAACAGCTGAATTTGCCCCTAGATTTTTTACTACAAAATGACCTCAAAAACTGTTTATAGTAAAACTGCAGTGTCTGCCTGATTAAACAATAAGATTTCGATAATCATTTCTGTAAGATCTTTTTACTTGAGATTCTAAAATGAAATAAACATTTCAATTCTTATCATTAAAAGTTTGGATTTTTTTTTTTTTTTTTGTTAAATGAAAATGTATGCATGTTAGTAAATAACTAACAAAACTTTTAATCAAAAACTACTTGTAGGAATATCAATAATTAGCTGCCAAAGATTTATTGTAAAATATGGTGTTAAAATTACCCTATTTACCTGTAGTGTCTTGCTTAAGACATTAAGGTTTTCTAATATTTGTTTAGCAGATAGGATAATAAAGTGCCACATAGGGTGTATATGGCTCATTCTACCAAATTGGTTTAGAGTTCAAAACACATTTTGGACTTTTAACTGACTTTGACATTAGACTGAAATAATTTTGCTTTGAATCATGCCTTAATATTGTTCATTTTACTAAAACATTTCATTTTGTCACGAACAGAACATGACCAGCAAACACAACTTTGAAGGGTTGTACACATAATCATAACATTTTTTTTATTAAAACACAAAGTTAATTGCAGAAAATGTGTGTTTCTGTAGTAAAAATTCTTAATGTTGTGCACTGATTTTCAGACTTTGGGACACCTTTGCTTGAAAACAATGGAATCTAACTGCTCACAATGTGGCCATAAGAGACAGGGAGGCAGTTTCACTTCTTGCACTAAAATAAGGCTCCACCTATGGACTAAAACTGTTTCAGTAGTGACATGAAAACATTTTGATTTTTTTGAATGGTCTTTTTATTTAAAAATGCAACTTGACAAATCTAAATATTTCAACTTAATTTGAAAAAAAAACAAAAACAAAAGAAACCTTTATAAAAACAACATGAAAAAAATGCAAAGAATTTTTTTCACAAGTTAAAATTTAGTGGTTAGGATTTGGGACACACACGTTACAATAGTAAGTACTCTATTAATGGTGATTTTCTATATATTTAGCTTATTACCATCTCTATGAATGCCTAAATGGTTCATTGTTGTTGTTGGTTGTTGTTTTTAAATAGTTTTTTTTACTGTGGGACTGATTAGTTTGAACTAATTTGGTAAAATGGTCCATATATGATATTGGCACTAAGCAGACTGTATATCAGCATGAGTTGGTCTTGCTTTTATGTTATTAGCATGAACAAGTCGCCAGGTTAAACGTAGCATTACAGCATCCCGACAAAGCTGATGCAGTACCTCCGTCCTGTGGCATATGCTGTTACGGACCGCAGCTTTGTGAACTCCGCAGCCTCTCTTCCTCCATTTAGGAGAGTAGAGGAAGAAACGAGAGGATGCCGCTGAACAGGAGTGATTACGAAAGCGCGCAGATCGATGGGGAGCCAGCATGTTGAGCCCGCCTACGCGGACCATCGCTAGAAATAGCTCCGCTCCCAACGAGGTTCAGCTCAAGAGGTTCCCTCTCTGCTCAACATGCTCACAGAACAAACGCACTTTAAGGACATTCTCTGTAGTAATCCTTATTATGATGCGTCTTATTTAGCAGTCCCATTTTGACATCTAATGACTGTTTAATAGTAGAGGGGTGCGAGAAGGTGAAGTACCATGGGATGAATTACACTAGAGGCGATTTTAAGACAGGCAAAAAAAAAAAAAATGGCTCACCACATAATGCCTACACGGTGGCATGCCAAACGCCTCTACCTCAAACGTTTAATTGCTTTGGAACCAGATGAAATTGTCTCGCTCTCCTGTAGCTCATCCTACACAGAATCACTTATCCTCGTAAGTAGGTCAGTCAGTCATCCTAGCTGCAGGAAAAGAGGTTGGCTGAAGCGAAGGAGCTTTATTTTAGGCTAGTGCTCCTGGAGGAGCCCATTTATCAAAGCCATGCGCCTGGCCGCCAGGGACGAAGGTAGCAAGACCAAGGTGCCTACACAAAACAAATCTGTGCTTACCTTCTCTTTTAACTTCTGCTGAAAATTGGTTTAATTATTCACCTTTATTATTCATACCTTAGCTATAGGGTAATTTGGTCATGAGCAGCTTTTGATCTGATTATATTGCAATATATTATACTTGCTCACTCATTGGCCATTTTATTAGAAAGATCCACCCTATAGGTGCACTTTGTAGGTTTACAATTACTGACTGTAGACCATCTGATGCTGCGCAGTTTTCAGCCCACCCTTTACCCCATCTATCAATGGGAAATGACCTCTTGCAGACCACCGCTGACCATTTGTCACAACATTGAAATTGAAATATTGAATTGAAATTGATGTGGCATGTAATTGTATTTTTAAAAAAATTATAAATCTTTTATAAACAGTATTTAAAGCTGTCATATTTGCGAGATTTCCAAATGAAACAAATTTGTAAAGCAAACAAAGAAACTGCTGGTGTTCTCAGAACAATGGACTGGCCACCCCAGTGTCCAGACCTCATTGAATGTGCTTGATTACTCGTGAGGTAGAAAATGCAACCAACTTCTAAGACTGAACTTTGGAGATATGGAAAAATATCCCTGCAGATTTCTTTGAAAAATTTTTAGTAAGTGTCCTGAAAAGAACAGAAGCTGTAATAAAGGCAAATAGTAGACACACTAAATACTGAAACAAATTATATTATCTTTAGTTGTTGAGGTTTCAGTGTAATTTTCTGTTAAATATTGTTTTTTATTTTTGTCTTATTTGAACACGGCAGTTCTTCAAATTGTGTGAAATTTTCATGATGATGGGACCAAGAGAAATGCCCCAAAATCAATTAAAACAAAATCTTTTTACATTAACTTACATTAAAAGTTAAGTTTGTTTTTGGCCTGTCCTATAAGGTTGCCATTTCGGAGAAACTTGTGTTTCTATGGACAGAGGCAATATTTTTCCTACTTTTTTCCTGTGAATGAAAGGTCAATAACTTGTGTTTAATGGCCATTTGATGGGAAATAAAATAAATGAAGAGAGGTCTCTGACTTCTGCGCTGTGCTGTATATGGTATGTGGTATGGATCGCATGGAACTTTTTTTTTCCCGTTTCAATGCTTATATTGAGACCTTGAGTATCGACCAATTTTTCACTTTTTTAACTACCCCACAAGAAGAAATACACAGCTCTTATCACAGTGTGAGTTTGTGCTATTGCAGGGTAGATTTTTCACAGGCTTGGATTGGATTCATTCTTTTATTCCTGATATCCGATCCAGCTTTTTCCACTAATATTAGCCTGATATCTGATCATCTATCTTTATTAGATGTTACTAGTAAAATGACCATGGCTGTAGGTAGAAGGAAGGTCTATGTAACCTGGTAACTCAGTGTATTGTTAAATTCAGTAGTGCCTCAGTGCCAAATACTGGTTAATGAAGTCATGATGCTTAGATATGTCTCTGACTCCACATGCATGGAGCCTTATAGTCCCCTTCTATGAACCCCCACACGTCTTTTACTTCTATATGCCCTTCATTTTGCTGCCTATCACTTACATTCGTCTATCATCACGATGAGATTTGTCCATGCAAATGCTTTGCTATTTCTGTGCTCTGAGGATGCATCCAGATTTTGCAGTTTTTCAAAGCTGTTCTTTCCAGCACGTTGTTCTTTCTGTTGCATGTCATTTCCTACTAGAAAAACAGAATGTCTCATTTCCTTTCTCATCATCCTTTATCCTAGTAACTAGTGCAGTTTACTTC